GGTACATACAATTTCTAGTTTACTCCCATTTATTTTATCGCTTTCTGCCTTATCCACGTTTCCGAACACACGTCTGCTCGACGCTTTTGATTAGACAGGTATCGCTTACTGATATCCACTAATGTCATCTATCATTGTGGTCCTGAACGACACGATGCTCACTTAGTCGTTTTTGGAGAAAGTTAAGATAATTCAAGTTTTTACCTATCTCTTACAGGCTTTGTCAGTACTTTAATTGTCATTTACAACATATGCTTTCTTCAAAAAAATTAAAAACTGACAATTGCTAAAGCTTCACGTCCCAATAGTTATTATAATTTAGGTAACGATTCGCTTTACTTCGTAGGTGCTTTACAAACAATGTTTTTAGTTTTTGTAACCCCAATGAATTTATGGTTTGTCTCTAAATCTGGTATTGATCTGATTATGTCTAGCAACCTGTTCCTCTATTAAGTCATAATCACTGAGTTATTTCTACACTTTTACATGTATTAAAACGCCTTTGTTATCTTACCTATTGTTTGTTTGTTTCCCCATTTTAGCGTAGTTTTTTTTCACATTATTAAATTTAGTATATTTTAATGAGACTGCAGGGCTATTCCTCAAGGACTGCTTTTAGAATTGGGTCGATCATAGTGCCGGCGTTTATATTTAACCATAAGGGCGTTTCTTTGACTAACTGTCTAAATTGTTTACCAGAAAGTTAGTATAGTGGCATTTGAGGGGTTTTCCATTTCATTTTTCGTTTTCCGGTGTTATCTATTGGTGAATCTTTAATTAAACCATCTACAGCACCACTTTCAGGATGATTTAAAAAAAAACGGTTACTATTTTTTGGATCGAAGCGATACGGCTCATCTTGGGACCAAAATAAGTACCCTTTATCTCTTTAATTTTATTGATCTATATACTATCGGCCAGCATTAATGAAGGCTTGGTTTGTATAATTTTATGACCGCCAGATTATGGCTATTTTACTGAGCTTATTTACACCTAAACTAAACAAGTAAATATGCATATATGTTATCATTAAATGTGAAATTCGAATAGTGGAGGGTTTTATTTGGCTGTTTTGCATTTCCACTAGCCCTTTATACCGCAACAATGAAGTATATTTAGTTGTCACTTTGCGAAGCGAACTCGCTTACTTGTTAATTTATTGATATAGAAATTACTACCATCTTTTCTACTCGTTCTCGTACAACTCTAATCTTTCTTCTATCCTCTTTCACTGGTAAGCCCGAAGCGACGTCTGACAGCATCGGAGCTTTGGAGCAGGCGCTGCTGGGATTTCTTCCGAGCTCAGCTTCCAATCCTTCATTGTCTGTACAACAGGCCTCAACAAAAGCTTTTTTTCCAAAGAGTTGCGATGTTTCTCATACCCTACTTCGTCTTCTGCACGCCTGTGAGGCCATAAATGCTCGAACTATTTCGGTAAGAAGGCTATATCGAGTCATTTATATATACTAACATTTCGTTAAAGATATGACATTATGGTAACTGGTCTAGCAAAGATATGCGTAATTAACTTATCCTTACTATAAATTACTACAATGATTTACGTTTATTGGAGCCACTTAGGTGCAGCTGTGTATTGAGGAGTTTTTAAGGCTCAGATGGAAATCGAAAAAAATTCAGTATGGTGCAACAAATGAGACCAACTGTTATAATCATTGCCAGTAAATTTGCATGGTTTAAATTATGTTTTATTCTTTTATTTTCAATTAGCCATTGCATCTCGTTATCAGCCTATCAGGCTTTGAGCGGGAGGTCGAATAGCGACTGGCTCAATTGGATGACATTTAAGCTCCTTTCCCCTCAATAAAAGCGTGACTTTACATTTTTACTGCAACTATTAAGGAATTTCGGATTGAATCGGTTTAAAGGATTATGTTTCTGGATGATGTATGCTAACTGATGCCTTTATTCGATTCCGTGCTCTCCTAGAAAACACAACCATATTTACAATAAGCACATCCATTTAAAGCAATTGATTGCTATCTCTAAAAGAGTACGCTGCTATAATGACAGGTTCTAACTTCAAGTCCCATGAATTTGCTGTCTTCGGACAATATAGTCTTCTTGTTAAGGTGTACTAATGTCACTTCTACTTACGGAGGGATTGAAAATCATACTTGATATTGGCATAGAATTTTACTTTGCTATCCGTCAAAATAATTGTTATCAAGGCTAGATTATAGGTTTGACATCGCATAAGCTTCATTAGAGTGGGTTTCCAGTCAATGATCATAAAAACTTTCTTGTTCTAGTCCTTTTTGCACGATTCAATAGGGTATATTTCCGATAGGTTATAGGATGGTCTAAGTAACTATGCCATAACACATTGGCTAAGTTATTGCATCCTATATTATCATACCCAGGTGCCGAATAATTCATGTCTCGGACTTTGCTTTCTGGCTGGCGGAGAAGCGACGGTGAGACTGGCAGCTGACGCAAACACCATAAAAAACTCAATCGAACCTACCTTCGTTGGTGGTGGTCGATGTAGTCACGCGAGCCTTGTGGCTGCTCTTTCCTGGTTCCGCCGCTGGAAAGCAGCGCATATTTCAAATGAAGAAACGCTTTATTCAGAGAGTCCTTTTAAATTGGTGGGGACCCTATTCCCTTCAATCTCTCAGGTTAGTCAGCTTATTAGTTTTTCGCTTATTAGACCTAGTTTAGTTTTATCATGCTGGTGTTTATAAATTACTTATTTGTATAAATTTGACGATGAAGAAATATAAAATGGTTATAATTTATTCATGAATGTTTTGGTATTGGAATAGCTATCAATCGGCCCGTTGTAGTCGGGCGAATTATGCTGCTTTCAAAGAATTGTTTGGCTGTTTGCTTTCCAATTAGCTGTTCTCTTCGAGACAAGCGCTTGGTAACTGATAAAATAACATGCCTTACTTTTCATTATCATTTTTGACTGCATTGACTATTCGATTTAACACAGATTTAACAAGCGCTTCACTTATACTTAAGGCGCAAGCTATTTAGTTACATCTTCAGTAATTTAACACAACATTAATTCAGTGAAATGGAATTACAAATTAGCTGTGATTCACAAGTAGGGCAGTTAGTTGAAGTTAAATCTTTAATAACCTCCCACCATTTGACCATTAAAAAGCTTTAACTTTAAACTATAGTTGTTAATAAATCTTCATTGTACTTACTGATACCTTATAATTAATGCAGCTGAACCACCTTCAAAGGCCTATCCATAAATGCATTAGCAGTAGCTTGGGCTTTAATGCCAAAGGTACTCATGCTCTATATGCCAATGGACATGATTTACCAGTGAATGTTGCTACCCATAGTGCTAAGTCACTATATTGACCTTATTTCGGTCCCATTATATCCATCATCATTATGCATTAGGGAGCAGATTTATTGTCCGTCGAGTCGGCCTCGATAAATAATTTTCAGAGCGTGTTCGACTTTCATGGAAATTATGGCGTTTTTTAATCCCAAATTTGTGAAAGAGGTTTGTCTTAAAAACAATTAATTTTTAAGGCTGGTTGAAAATTATCTATTTTTTATAAGGAATAAATTTTTGAAATGTTTATATTTGGTGCGAGAGAAACAGTCTAAGAATTTTTATCATATAACATTTTTATCGTCTCCTTTTTAAACATAAGTAAAGGGTCGATAATAAAATACTTCAAAAGAAACGCTGGCCACTATTATCCAGCTACAAGCTTTTATCCTTATCTGGCGTCATCAACCTGTTGCCTAAGCGGTAACTGGCTAAATGAACGCATGTAAAGGCTATTACC